ACCGGGTCCGTAGGGAACCCTACCGGGATTGTGGTCTCTCATACCGAACGTGGTATGGAGACCTTATGTATTTTGGCGCCCATACCGGACGGGATATGGGGACGGCCCGTTTCACCCTCATACCAGACGGGGTATTGAGGTTTATAGTTTTGGCGCCCATACCGGACGGGGTATGGGGACGGCCCTGGAATCAGGTTGTAAATGTTAAAGGTTCACGGGTAGCGGGACCCCTATGGATCCCCACGGATACTAGTAGGCTGGTAAAAGAGGAAAAATATGTTGTGTAATGATTGAATTACAAAATGCGTGATAAGTATTATGTTATACAGTTTATATGATTTCATGATGATGATAATGTTATTGCTTTCGTATATTGTTTTATGAATTTCACCAAGGTAAGTGGATGGTAAAGGTTTTATTATTGATAAAATGATTTGTTGTAAATTATGTTCCATTGGTCTTTTTGTGTTTTCTACCCACTTTTACCTCCGTGACGGTGAGATATCGTGATGTGTTTACTGGGCTAGTGTAGCTCATTCCTTATTTAATCATTTCATATCAGGAAGACATTGTTCCCGAACCCGTTCCGCAGGAAGACGACGAAGGGGACGCCTAAAGACTCCATAGTCATAGTCATAGCTTTTACTTTTGAGTTTCTCTTTTAGTTAGTTTGATCTTTTATATTTTGAGCACGTTTTTGGTTTTAGTGTAAGGGATGTTAATCGAAATTTTGACTTCGCTTCCGCATTTGACATTTTTAATACACATATTTCATTTTAAATTTCCGGGGTCGTTACATTAACTCTATGTTAATAACATGAAGGTTGATGTCAAGTATCAAGTCTAACTATACATAATACATTTTTATTTGTAATTGTACAAATAAATATCATATCATATATCACATATCATCTAGTTATGTGTAAAAAAATAAAAAATAATAAATGTAGACTAGTTCATATGACATATGATTTGACACTGACCTTAACAATATTAAGACTGATATCACGTATCAAATCTAACAACACATAACTTCTTTTCAATTGTAATTGTGTAAATAAATATAATATCAGATATCATGTGACGTCTAATATAGTATAAAAAAAATTCATGTAACTATTTCAAACTAATTCACGTGATATCTAATGTAACATCAGTTTTAATAATATGTCAAATTTAACAATTAATAACATATTTTTATTTATGATTATATAAGTGAATATCACGTGACATCTAATGTAGTACAAAATAAAAACGGTCCATATAATTAAAAAAATCATTACATAAAAGAGAAACTTAAATAAATGAAAAGAAAAATACATCATGATTACGTGCTCTGTGAAACATCATAGATTTGACCTTTGATCGCCATAAGAAAAAGCTTTATGGGATTGTTGTTGTCGTACCTCTTGAATTCATACTCACTTATTTCACAAAGTTAAACAAGGGATGAAAGTGGTTGCATATATTCCCCGATGGATAATTCAAAAAACTCGAATACCCAATGATAGATGGTCAAAGTCAAAGGTAAAAATGCAAAAAACATTGTAAGAGAGAGACCCATATCAATTGTGATTGCTTCCTTTATAGTCTCTAATAATTACAGAGTCATGGTTCAACACTTCAATTAGAGAGAGAGATTTGACTAGAAAAAGAAAAAGCTACTATATATCAATCTATTTCATTTCTCTGATGATTTTGTCTTCTTTTTTAATATGTAGATTGATTTAAATTAATCCACGTTAACTTTTTTCACGTCACATGACATCCACTTATACAGCTGTAAATGATAAAATATTATTAGTCATAAAATTTGATACAACTTTAACACCATAACAAAGAATTAAAGAAATGGACTAAATTAAATTTTTTTTATAAATATAAAAACTAATTTGATCAAAAAATAATGCACCTACAAATTTGAACAAAAATAAAAAATACAAAAATTAAATCATTATTTTTATCTCTTCTTAATGATTTCTTTCAATTGAATTTCTTTAGTTCTTATAATTAAAGTGCTTGTGTTTTAGGCATGAAACCTTATTAATGTGTTATAATTTTATTTATTTGATGGAGTTTTTTTTTTTTCTTTAAAAAACGAATTTTCTTTTTTGTTTTAATAGAAATACAATTGTTTGAACGAGATAAAGAATACACTTATAAAGCACTAAAATGATCTAAAACGCTGCGTTTGGAATAATAAATTTGACTTTATTTAGTCCAAACAAAATTAGAACAATACCCTCTAAATCTTATTAATTTATCTCCTCTTTAGTTAAACTTAACATGTATTTACACAGAAAATTTGACAAATTTTTTAATTTATTCCCAAGAAAGCATGGCTTGGCAAATATTAAATAATCACCATCAACATAAGCAATTGTACTCACCATGTGTTGAAGAAGAACTTGTGAGCAGCTTGGGAGAAGGAAATTAAAAAACAAAAAAAAAAGAAGGCTATGCCCAAATTCTTTTTCTTGGGGCAAGATCTGATGTTTTAATCTCATCTATTTTGGCAGCTACAATAAAATCATTCATGCTCAACCCTCCTGCAAATTCAAAGTTACAGCCCATATATAAGAGTGATTCTGTATAAGATCTAAGAACATGTGAAAAGGCAAAACAAGCTTAACTCCAACGAAGATAATATTTTAACTTTAAATTATTCTACGATGTGTTGTTAATCAGATAGGCCTGTTCTATACAATCGTGAATATATATATATATATATATATTAATAAAAGTTTTATATGCAAAATGAAACAAGAAAGACAAATCAGTGCAGAAAAAGGAAATTACCAATTGAAGCAGTCCATAGTTGAGCTCTAACTTGATTAGAATCTTCCAAATGAAGATTGGGGAAATGGCCGGTAGCTTTTACAACTTGATAAATCCTATTGATCAGCTCAACCCCACATTTGAAATCTCTCAACTTCCACACACACTGTAGCTTAACCCCATCTTCTTCCTCCAACAATCTCCACCCGATTACCTATCGATTTCAAATTTCAAGTCTATTTCTAGAAAATTTATAAACAACAAACTCCGATTAAAAGAGAAACTCACCTTCTTTAAGAGCTTCTGAGCATCATCGATTGACATGGGAGGTTGCAGAGGAGGTATAGGGGCACAATCCTGCTTGGCAAGAGATAGAGCAGAGACATTAGGGATAAGGATCTTGTGCTCAGTATCAACGTTTCCCAAAACTTTCTCCGCAAAATTACTCTCTAATTCTTGAGGGAAGGGGTCCCTTGCCCCGAAATCACCCAGCAAATCGGGCCCCGCCGCAGCCCGAGTTCTCAAACTGAGTCGACTCTGAGTTGGGAACGGGAATTCGGTAACGCGGTGACGGTGAAGAGATAGGCGAAGAAAGAGGATGGAGGATGGAAAGTGAGTCGGAACGGTGGCGGCCATGAGTGGAAGAGGATAAGCGAGTTTGCTTCTGTTGGGCTTGGGGTGGATAAGGAAGTGAAAG